TAATATTTTTAAATACCCTAATCAATTCGCTATTTAAGAAAAAAATATTACAAATTTATAAAATTAATAAAACTAAACACACTTGTATTAGAGTATAAAATATGAGTTAATGAAACTACTATTTAGTTATAAAAAAAATTATAGGGGAGAAAAGTAATTCCTTTAATTATCTAAATCTTCGGAGGGATAATTCGTTAATTTGAGCACTGGTTGCCTTTTTCTCAAATAAAATAAAAAATAAAAAATAAAAAAAATATGTTACACAATTTGCTCAGCAGCATAAATGGACTTTTGCAACGATTGGACTGGACCTTGATATCCTAATGACACTCTCCACTCCTCGGCTCCACCCATTTGGGCTAGGTCTCTCCATTTGGAAGGCCTTGTAAATTTTGACTGGCCCAGCCCAGTTTATCAAAACACTGTTTTTCTGGCCCCAAAATTCCAGTTTCTCAACTTTTACTGACGTTTCTCCATCATTGGCATTCCCTCATCATGGCTCAGTAGGAATGTTCGGAATTTACACCTGAGCAAATGATGAACTGACCCCCACCACACCCCCCCCAAATTATTGGGATCTCATTTTACCACAATTTCAATATCCGTCCATTTCCATACATTGAAGATGAATTAATCTTCGACCACAAGAAACCAAGATATGGACTCATCCTCCATTTCCATTTCAAGAATAATAATGCGTATATGAATTATATGTAGAAATGAGGGGTTTTGGAAAAGGTTTCGTGAGGTCTATAAGTAGTCATTGATCGTTTTCGGTAGGCCATGCCCCAGCTTATGAAAGCATGAATTAAGAGAGTTTGTGTGTGATGCAGACGCTAATGGAAGAATTCGCTGTATAATGCCACTTCCTTTTTGGTGTTAGAGCCATTTCCTAACGTATGCGGATTTGCTAAACAGTGAATTAGTGCAACCTCATCTACTACTACTCATCCATCAAAATATGACCATAATTTTTTGAGTATAATCTCAAAGTCGATAATGGAAAGAAAAATGCATGCAAGTATATGCGGACTTTAAAGAGGTACCATTTAGTCTTCCTATCGAAAATTTGAAAAATTAAAGCGAAATTGTATTGATGCAAAATATTGAATTAATTCAAGAGTAAGCATGTACATTGACAATATGTTAGAGCGCACTCGAAATGAATGGCAACAAAAAAAAAAAAAAAAA